GTTGGGGGAGGGGGGTATGGTACGACTGTTTGATTGACGCACTTACTGTCTAATGATTCTAGGTGGTCTTGGAAATGATTGGCTGGAGTTTTTCGAGTCCTGCCCGTTCCACAGATGATTAATTTGCTCAATTTTCATTTTAGTGCTTCTAACTCAGTGGCTGTAAGTGGGTTAGGAATAGGATTTCAAGTGATTTTGAAAAAATGGTCAAAAAAGAAAATCACATACCCCACCTTTAAATTAAGCTTATATTTTTTCCATCCTGCGGAGTGAATATTATATTGTCTCACCAAGAAAGAAAAGTGATAGTGTTTTGACATTGTCTAATTTTAAGTGTGTTTTAATATCCAAATACTTGTTGTGGTCAATGCATGTCTGAAATGCATCAAGATCATGTATGTTTAGCTCGTTTGATGGTGTCTCCTGATGCAGAACTCAGAGAAGGAAGGACACTACATGCACGTGTGAGACTGTGATCTCAGTCTCATGGAGCGAGGACACTTCTGTATGGATGACGAGCTGTACTGGGAAATATTTTCGGCAGAGATGCCAGACAGCCGATGGCCTCCACTTAAAACACTGGTGACGAGCACTTGGATTCAATGCCATATTCAGCACCTTTCAAAAACGACAACGCACCATTAAAGCAGCACTAAGTAGGAATTCCGTTTTTGTCAAACAGCGACCCCTAGAGTCGCTGTGGAGTTCTTGTACTGTCATGAATAGCACTCACGCAGAGATGGCTCACACTCACGGCCGGATCCCTCCCCCTGTACACGTTCAGTAGGATGGACGCTGTAAGAGTGGAATATAAGCAGTGTTGGGGAAGTTACTTTTAAAAAGTAGTGTTTTCTCGTTACTTCTTAAAAAAGTAATCCGTTACTTTACTTAGTTACCCCCTTTGGAAAGTAACTTTTTATGTTACTCGTTACTTTTACGTTACTTTTATGTTGCTTGACTTTGGGCAGAACCCAATATCTGTTCCTAAATGTGTAGGCCTACATAAAATTCTACTATGAACTCTACTTATTGAAAAACTAGAAAAAAAAGAAAGATTTTGAGATAGAAAAATAAAATATGTTTATTTAAATAACATTTGAAAAACCTGTATAAACTGAACACCAAAGCACAATATTAACTATTGAGCGGTGGTGACGCGTTCATGAAAAATGTCACAAAGAACCGGCAAAAGAAATGATTATGAATATCGAATATCAAATATAGCAAGGAGACATTTCAATTGTTTATTAATAAACAAGTGTTTTCTTTGTCAGTCAGTGTCGGCTGCAAAGATAAAGTTGACGATGCTGACTCGCGATCTTCACAGTAGTGAACGCGCCAGAGAGAAATGCACATTTCATATGGATTACATGCAGAGAGTCTGTTTTCTCTCGTTTTGAATAGTTTTGTTTTAAAGTACACATTTCAAGCTTTCTATATATTTCTCAGATCTTTGAGGCAAGTAGCTTGCGCTAAGTTTCGGTTAATTTATGAGACGAGCTCAGTCCACGCGCTGGCACGGAGCTCCTGAGAAGTCCTGATTATATTGCCTGCTATATATACTGCTTATTTATTAAAGACAATTGGTTGATGAAACATTGATTAAAATTAAGATACAATTAATACAAAACGAAATTCACTTTAAAGAAAGGCTTTCTAAAAAAACAAACTTAATGAAGTGGTCAAAATCATGTCTGCCCACTCTATTTGTCCCCCGATTGCGCATGCTCTTACTCATGCTTTTCACTTTTCATATAATCAACATTGATGAAATTAAAAAATAAATTATTTTATCTAAACAGAAATATGAAACTAAATCGTTTTCTTTAATGACTAGGCTACAACACGCAGGTCTATACAGAGAAATTTAATATCGGAGCGGGATTTGAGCGAACGCCGTCTTACTAAGCATGTGGGGGTAGAGGTACGATTTTCGAGCAATCATTGAATATTATTTTGCTTGATATGCCAATCCTTAATATTTGGTGTTTTAAATGCATGTTTGAGGTCTCTGTGAAAGATTTAAAGCAGTCTTTTAGTGCCGCTTTCAGAGCGGTCAAGTCGGAAGAACTGTTACGTCCATAACATTGTTTCTTTCCTCATAAATGCGAACACGAAAAATTCAATACAATTAATATTTTATGTTCTGTGGAGAGCCAACCCTTCTTCATCCGGTGGGAGTATTACTTTTGGTTTGCGCAGTGTAATTCACAGAATTGATTGCTCTGCTACCAGCCTCTGTCACGTTCCATGTGGAGCTTGTGACTATTGCAAGCGCGCAGCAGAGGAGACAGTGTGTTGCTGTCAAATCTGTCCATGGGAAAAGTAACGTTGTGCGGAATTGAAAAAGGAACTACGTTTCGTTACCAAATTTTCAGTAGTAACGCGTTACACTACTTTTTACCCGAAAAAGTAGTTACGTTACTGTAACGCGTTACTTTGTAACGCGTTACACACAACACTGAATATAAGGTAATTTTATCAGATCTGTTTTTTGCCGTAAAGCAATTCGTTACCTCGCGAGACCTGATATCACACGATACTTCCTAACACTAAAGCCAGCGGCCCGCCGGCCCAAAGTTACAAGGGTGGTTTTGCGGCTCACAGGCACCAGGGGGGTGCGAGACGACCACCATTCAACACGAAATCAGTAATATAAACATTACAATGACTCCAAGCTGTTCGGTTAAGGTAAAAAAAAAGTTACTTAGTTCACATCTAAAAAGCATCATAAAAATGTCCTGAAATCATCAAGTCCCCCCTGTGGTGAAAATTAAGCTTTTGTTTGTATGTCTGTGTGGTGTTTTAATATGCTTTAAGAAAAAACATGTGCAAATAATTCATAAGTCAACACCACTGCTGAGTATTTTCTCCTTAAAACTGCAGTGAACCAAAGACAGTCTCAAAAACGCGGTTTAAAGTCGCAAGTGATTCTGACGTCACAAACTACCTTGTAACCAATCAGATCAACGTGTGATCGTCAACGATTGGATCTCTGAGCTGGTGTGATTGAGTGGAGGCGAGGCTTATTTGCATATTCATAAATCCACGTATACTAAATGAGACATGGGTGTAGAGTTACATTCAAGCTATTTACATTTTTTAAATTAACGTTTAAATATTTAATTTTGGTGATCAAAGATGAGTTTTAAGGGATAAAATTATTGATTACAGGGGGACTTTAAACCATACAGTAGCTTTGTGTTTTTCATTGTATGAGTTTTCTTTTGGGTTCCACATTGTTAAAAAAGTTATATAAAAAAATCCATGATGACGATTCAGATTTTTGGTTGAATTATTCCTTTATTGCATTGGTTCTTAGTCCTCTCTAGAGGGCAGTATTTTCTCATGATTCACTATTGCATTAGTAATTCAATACATGTCTGTGACTGAATGATAAAATTATGCTTTCAATTAGTCTCTGGCATCTTTGTGGAAGAGAAGACATAATTGGAACGCATCCCACGGCCATAACATAGAAAAAAAAAAAGTGTGGCATTTCATAGATGCTTTTCATATATTATGAATGTATTTTTGCTGCTGTAGCAAACCATATCCTGCAGTCTGACCTCATTTTATTATGTAAAAGAATTCAATGATAAAGAGTTAGACGGCCGTGCCCTGTTGACTTCCACTCCCCATGCAGAACTATGAAGGCCTTGAACAACGGGTTTCAGGAACAATACAAGCACTTATCCTCACGAAGCAACTGGTGTTTGTCCTCGTCATGTTTATTAAAGAATGACAATGAAGGTTCATCAGTAATGTATGATGGTAACTGTGTTAATACCGGGTGTTTTGTAGTACAACAACAGATTAATATACAATTATAAATTATGAAACAAGTAAAGTCACATATTATAGTGCTCTATACAGTGCAGATTGCTTCAAAAGCAGTTTCACAGTAATAAACAGGAAAATACATGTTGTTAAATTCGTCACAACTTCAATTTCAGCTGTAAAGCAGCTGTACGGTAATGATATAACTCCCACCAACAATTCTTTGTTTTGGTTGAATCTATCTCTATATTAGGTCATTATAAAACTTCATTTGAAGTAATCAGGGTGGAAGTGTTTGTTTTAGTATCTTAAATGGCTTATCTCTGTTGTTTTTCTCTATATATCAGAGTGCAGACTGTGTTCTTTGCAGAAAAGTATTTCTTTTAAGTTTTAAATCTCTTTTGCAATAAGAACAGAATAGATCCTGTTCATTTGTGTTCCTTTTTTCATGAACAATGAGAAGGTCACTGCCAGTATGACAATTTAGTATAGGCCTAATTGTTGCTTTGTGACACTGTGCAGTTCTCAGATCTCTAAATTTAGACAGTTTAATTATACATCTCTATTAAAGTGTCATAATTGAAAGAAGCCTCAATTATTTTAAACTACAAAATACACAAGTAGCTGGGTACTCGTGTGTGCAATGAAACAAGCTGTTGCTAAAAACAAGTTGCAAGAAGCATTAGTCATGGTTTAATTTAGGCATTGTCATGTAGAAATTAGTCCATAAACCTTCCTTAGAAATCAAAATGATAGTATAGCCTATATAGCAAAGAAGCACAAAAATTAAGCCTTTTTCAGAGTTTTCCAGGTTTTTTTTGTTTGTTTTTTGAAGAAATATCAAAACAAACAATACAAATACAATACATTTCAAATGCTAGGGGGAGGTATAAACAGTATTATAGGAATACTTTATGTAGCCTATAAAATTCGAATAGCTTTTTGTTTCTTCGAGGGCAATATTGACTCAATTTAATGCTTCACTTCATTTTTAAATGTACATTTATGAATGTGAAATTTACACCATCAAAATAAAAATAATAATAAAATAAAAATAAATAAGTGCGGGGTAGATTGTTTCCAGCTCTGCCCAATGAAACAATTATTCGTTGCGTCACAACAGGCCACGCCCACACGCAGCTGCTCCATATGAACAGGCGTGTGGGCGTGGCCTCAGAGTGACGCTCACTTGTTGCTTCACAGGATAAGTGAAACTTTTCCAGCGAAACATTAACGGACCTTTGACACAACTTCTCTTCTGGCAGGACGGCTCGCGCGTCCTTGTTGCTTTTTCAGTTCCAACTGAAACAGGTTAGGTTTTCACAGAAATGTCCCTGGCAGAGCAAAGCCAGCAGTGGTATCCCACCAGCGTCCAGGTAACGGTGCTCCAGGCGCGGGGGTTGCGGATCAAGGGGAAGAATGGCACCAACGACGCGTACGCCATCATGCAGGTGGCAAAGGATAAGTTCTCCACCTCGGTGGCCGAGAAGAGCGTCGCGCCGATGTGGAAGGAGGAGGCCGCGTTCGACCTGCCGCTCTTTCACCCCAGTAACGCGGAGCGCTGCACCCTACAGGTGTGTGTGATGCACCGGGCTCTGATGGGACCCGACAAAACACTCGGTCAGGCGAGCGTCAACCTCCTGGAGCTCCAGGACAATAAATCCCGTAATAAACCAGAGTGAGTGAACGTGACTTTACATGTATCCTGATGACTTGTGCATTCTTGAGTTCTGTTGCGTCACATGAAATGCATTACACTGAAACATTTTATTATTATAATAATGTTGATACCATATATAGGCCTTTACACACCACACACTTGGCAGAGGATATCTGATATCCTTCTGACAAACTAAGGCATTTCTCAAGTGCATGTAACTTTTCTCTGCTTCTTATTTAGTATTTGAATGGTATTTCACAAGCGTACTTCTGTGCTGAGGGATGCCATCAAATCATTCTCATGTGGAAATAATGAGCTAAGCTTCTCTCAGTTCTCATTCATTTGTTCATGGTAGAGATCGAAGGAAACAAGATCCCCCCCCCCCACCCCCAACCAGAACCGCCACAGACCTCCATGTTTTCACCAAACCAATACTAACTTGTTGGATAGAAATTCCTATTTTGGGTTTATTTGTTCAGAATTTCAGTTTATCCAGTGAGATATGTGATTCTTGTTTGATCCTATTAGGATTGTTTGGTGGAAATTCCACTGGCTTTCCAATTGGAATGTTTGTTAAAGGTCTGATGATACAAAAAAAAAAAAGGTCTGCTGTAATCCAGAGCCACACGGCACAGACTTCATGAATAAATTAGTTTAGCTCTAGACATCATTGTAACATCAGTCACGGCAATACAGCAAAGGTCAGAACGGAAATTTAAAAAGTGGCACACAAATCTGTCACAGCATTCTGACCTTGGATTTGAAGAGCTTGCTTTAAAGAGCTTGTTTTCTCCTGCTCCCTGAATGACTTTCATTGTTTGCTTGTAAATGCATAAAGCTTTTGATTACACCTCGTCTGGTCATTTTCATTACGAGACCTAATTCAATCTCCTGCACAAAGGCAGCCAGCGCACGTCTGGCCTTCTGCCGAATAATTGTTTTTCTCCAAGTTCATCTCACTGTTGAGTCAGAATGAAAGCTGTTTTCTAATGAACTGGGCCACTAGAGAGCTTGGCTTCTGTGCCGTCGGGTTCTTTTGAGTCTGACTGAGATGTTTCCTGTTGTGATCTGATAGAGTTTATGCTAAGTGATATCTTGTCCTGTTCCACCGTGGGCTGCTGTTCCCCTCAGGTCACAGGAACCGGTGTCTCGAAGTAAGTGGACTCGTATGAAACTGGACCTCTGTGTTTCTTGTAATCTGATCTGCCATTCTGATGGTGATTTAAAGGATTAGATTGCCAATCTTGTGGCTGACTGACATGAACATGGTGTCATTGCTGGAAAATCTCATTTGAATATTCAAGATTCAATGCAGTTGAGCTCAATTGACAGCATTTGTGGCATAGGGTCGATTACGACTAAATTAATTGATTTTTACATCACATGTCCGTCCTTTTCTTAAAAAAAAAATATTAAGGTTGAATTGGGCCAATTTTTGAAAAGTAGAAATTTGAATCTATAATAATAAAAAAAATTTGTTGTTGTTGTGGTAATCAGCATTATGCTAAATCAATTAAGCATAACTTGTATTGAAACCAGAATATTGCTTATTTCAAAGAAGCTGATTCATTCTTTCTGCCAAAACTTTAATTATTTCCTGTACTTCTCATTGCTGTCAATTTCACTGATCGTCATATCAGTATTTTCTTACTGTTCTTAGTTCCTGGTTTTTCTTTTATCATAACATAAGAAAATAAAGGTCATTACTTATAAAACGTTTATTACTTTTTGGTGTTAGTTAAGCCTAACAGAGTCAGTTACACTGCCGTTCGGAGTCAGATGAGATGATGATTTATTCTTTTTTAAAGAAATTAATGTATTTATTCCGCAATAATGCGTTAAATAAATTGATCAATTGGCCGTAAAGACATTGATAAACTTATAAAAGATTTCCATATCAAATAAATGCTGTTCTTTTGAATATTTAAAACAATAATAAATGTTTCTTGAGCAGCAAATCAGTATACTTCTGAAGAATCATGTGACTGAATGGAGTAATGATGCTGAAAATTCAGCTTTGCATCACAAGAATAAATTACATTTTAAAATATTTTGATATTAGAAAATGGTTATTTTAAATTGTAATATTTCACAATACTTTTTTACTGTATTTCTGATCAAATAAATGCAGCGTTGAGCATAAGAGCCACCTTTCAAAACATTAAAATACCTTACCAACTCTAAACTTTTAAACATTAGTGTTTGCGTGTTTTAACACCCCTCAGAACCTCGGTGTGTAACTCGCACCCCTTCTGTGCACGTTTAAACTTGCACTCAGATTCCCCGGTTATATTGTGCAGTTATTTAAATAAAACAGTATTTTGGAGAAGGCCAAATATCTAACATCCCTTTTTCTGGTTTGTGATTGTTCTGTTTGTGCCCCAGTTCTCTCTCAGGCTTTGACACACATGTTGCCTGATAACTCCAGTTCTGTTAGTGGGGCATAAAGCCAATGCTTGTAAACTGCTTCAGACTTCAAAGTCGAGAAAGCACTTAGTTTTCTCTGTCATAGAGGATATGCCTTAATGCCTCATGCTAATACAGAAGCTCCCGAAAGGCATCAGCCGTTTCTTTCTGCGTGTCCCTATCCACTGAGACTGACACGATAACTCTTTCCTGATTGCAGGCCGAAGGGGAGCATGTCTTCTCCGACTGCTATCAAAGTTTTCGTTGTTGGCAGTCTGTTGTCGTCTTATCTCCTTTGACTATTACAGGTTCTGTCAGGACCACTATCGTCAAATACGATTCACAATTAGCATACAGTTTGGATTGGCGGTATGGTTCTGTTCTGGGCTAGCCTGGGAAAACCCGGACAACTTCCGGCAAATTTAGATTTGCTCTGAAAGTTAGTCTGGCAAAGAGCTCATTCAAGCCCATTTCCAATCCGCCGAAATCGAGGCACCAATCAGAAACGTTGGGGCGGGCTTTACACGATGACGACAGCGCTGGGATTTTGAAGCAGATTTTGTGGCCTACATTACAAAGATGGATGCCGCCGTCGAACATCACTCGTTCGAATCAGCTATCGCGTCTGTTTTAAGCGATTTGAACGTTTCCTTTTTGTTAAAAACCGAGCAAAGAACAACACTCGGAGATGTTTCTGCCGCTCTGCATATGTCATCTCCATCGCTCTGATTGGTTTTAGGTCTATCCGCGACGTCCGTTGGTGACGCCCCTCTGGAAATGATTTGTCTATGACGCTTTGCCAGACCATAACTCAGTTACAACTGAGAATGGTCTGGTTTTAACCAGGCTAGTTCTGGGCAAGAACTCCCAGCGCATGCAGTAAAAGTCTGCCATGGATAAGAGCAGCGATAACCCCCCTTAGGGTAAACGGAACACAACAGAAACAACATGAATGTATGCAGATATCATTATTCAGTATTTTAATGTACAACATCATTCGAGAATTTAGTCTGATTCAAAGGGGAGTCAGAATACCAAATCCTGACTGACGAGAGGAGGAGCTGGGGAGGGAGGAGGGTAATTCGCTCCTGAGAAACGCGATAGCTGGCGATAATACTGAAGAGCTTATATATGTATACAGTGATAGGCGTCGTATTCCTATAGGTAGACATGGATCAGCTGAGAGTCAGCTGATGCGAGCTAGACTAACATGACCTGCCAGAACTGGCGCTACGCTTGATTTTTGCAATAAGTTAAATTTAATGTCTTTTACCTCAGCAGAAATAATTCAAGATTATGAAGACTTAAATAGGTAGGAAAACTGGGCATGTTGCCGTCCAAGGCCACTTCCACCAGTCTGCTATGGATAGGCTTACCAGAGTCAAATCGCCTTGCTTTAGTAGGAAATACTACTTGGCAAACGTTTGGTCATAATGGTGTCGACTTGTACTGTTACCGGGTGCAGGAATTCAAATAAACGTTTAGCGGGAGTGAGTTACATGCCGTTTCCAGTGAAGGATCCAGAGCATTGCAGGCCGTGACTAAAGGCTGCAAAGAGTCGTACATATGGAGAGAATTCCGCAATGGAAAATCAGTCTTTGTAGTCACTGGTGTGTTTTGCTTCATCTGGCAGACGTTTTCTGATTCCTCAGCCCAGGTAACATGGCGAATGAGTAAACATTATTTATTTTAAACCCGCTTTGTATTGTTACAAAGTTACACTTTAAGTCTTGGTTAGTAATGTGTTGCTGGTTTGGAAATATGAATAAGATCCTATAAAGTATAATGTTTTTATGTCATATGACTAAATATGTCTGAGCAACATAGATCATTTGAATATCAACAACTAGGTGAAGCAAGGTCCCTGCGCTGCTGTGTGTGATAAAACAGTCCTGTCAGTCAACGGTCTTATCAGCGCACTGGCACATACAGGAAGTCAAGCTGTTGAGAGAGACACACACACTGGAACAATCCAGTGCTGATTCATCTGATGCTGCGTGCACTTCCTGTCTGGGCACAGCTGTTATTGAGGATGAGTTTATCAAGAACTTTTGCTTATTTCGGTGTTTTTTTATTATCTTACCTGACACTTTCCATAAGGAGGGTACAAAATAGTCACTTCAACAAATGGTCAATGAACCATCAGTCATATAAACAATTATATGAGCATATTTTAAGGTGTTAAATTAGTGTATAGTTTAATGTGTTAAATTAGTGTAATTATAATAATTTTTACAACTTTATTACCACCTGTTGGTTTGACAAGTTTACATTTTACATAAATTAATTTAAAAAAAATTAGTTTGATCACTTTGTCCTATACTGTAGTTGAGCTTGACCATGTAAAATGTGAGAATATAGAATAAGACTATTTGGCTGTCTAACTAAAACTATATAAAAAAACAGTGCTTGAAATGAAGTAAACCTTAACTGAAATGAAATGAAATAAAATTTTAATTTTATTTCAGCTATTTGCCAAGGCAACATTTCTTTCTTTTGTTAAGCTGAAGTACTATAATAACTAAAACTAAATACTAAAACTAAAAAAAAAAAAAACTAAAGAAACATATTTAAAAATAAAAACCTAATTCAAAGTATTAACAAAAACTATAATAGTATATCGATAATATTAAAATCTAAAGACACTTGTTTCCAAAGAGAATTTTAAGAGTGAATTTTGAGAAATTTTAAGAATATCTTTTTGTAAAGGAGAAATCGTGATGTAACGTCAAAAGTAAAAATCACTTCAATATATTATTTTAAAGTAATGACATTGCATGATTTTAACGTGTGTGTGCGTGCGCATGGGGCGAGGGGCAGAATTTATTAAAAATAGCTCGTTTCCATGTTAATTCTTGACTATAATAGCTTATCTAAAAGGTCTCACCAAAAAAAAACCTCTCGCAAGACAACACCCTGTTGCAACTTCCCTTCTGTGAACAGAACTGTATGCAACTTGTGTGCAGTTGACAGCTATCTGAATGACATCACAGTTTGCATCAGTGCATTTCTATGGGTGTGAGGTGTTGTCCGAACATGTCGTGTTAGATGAGCACCTCCCAGATGTGCAAAGCCGGTTCTCTTGTCATTGTGTAATTAGTTGGTTTAGCAACATCTATTGTTTAAGGGCATAATTGTGATTGCTTATGGTTGAGTCTCTCCAGGACTTGATTCAGCAACTTTATGGTTACCAGCCCTTTAACCACTTCTGTTTAATGCCTTGCAATTCCTGTCTTACACCATGATTTCATTTATTTAGGCTTCAGTAAAGCCAAAACTCTGCCATATCAAATATTAGATTATTCCATGTAGTAAACATTAAAACATCCATGCTGTGATTCAGAAATGTAGTCAAGCGACTTCAAAAGCCTGGTGATAACTTTATTGCATATTCAATATTGCTTTGTTGTCAGTACAAAATTAACCAACATTGTGATGATTTGAATGATAACCTAGTGAAATGGTCTTGAAATTTTACATGCTTTTAAAATATATTGCTGTTCACCCCCCCCCCCCCCCCCCCCATCTTTTTTAGCCATTTCAGAGCAAATATATAAATATCATGGCCAAAATGGAGTTGTTTTTAGCAATAGGCGTGTTGTCCATTCTTAGCCAGTATGTTATTCTCTGACGTAGATGTGCTGTGTAATGGTGCTAAATGTTGTTGGCGTAGGCAAGCGGCAGAGATCATTTACTAATAATCCCAGGGTTAGATGCTATATTTAGCTCCAGAGTCATCACAGTATTATTCATCAGATAGACACAGAGTATTTAAACACACGCCCAACATGTTATTTTCTCCACAGCATTATCATTGCATTACTCACTGTGTCCAGTGCATGTTCTGTGTTATCATGGACACAAACTCCTGGTTTCACAGAATAAAATAAGCTGTTAACTGAAAAATATCTTCAAATAGCCTATGTCAGCCATTGTTTTGTCTCAAGATGCACACCAGTAATGTTTTTTTTGTTTCTAAGGGACAATTAAAAAGCTACTTAAATGTCTAATCCTGGCTTAACCTAAGCCTTGTCTGTGAAACAAGTAGCAGCTGTTTTTTTAAGTGGCTTGTTGAGACCCATAAAGTCTCAATTCAATAACCATCAACCAACCTGGTGATGATCAACCGTTGATCATCACCAGTTCTCCATTTCCCCCCTGGACCTCATAGAAGAAAACAAGACAATTATCCCAGCATTTCATTTCCAAACCCTGAAGTCAGGCACTTTTATATATGGCTTTTTCCTATTTTGTCTAAAATGCATATTTTAATTTCAAAATGCACTTTCATTTGAGACAATTATCCCTCTATACAGTGGACTTTTCAAGTCATTGTCTTCCGCTAGTGTCCTTGAGTTACGATAAGACAGTCACTTGGTCATTGAACTGCAATGTGCCATTCTGGTTTATTGCCTTTGAGGAATGTCAACAATCACGTGAATCTATTTACACAAGGTTTGGAGATAAAATAAAATAAATCCCAAAGTCTATGTCAGGCACTATCTGTCAAATTTTATATGGGGTTTTCCTGCAATGATTAAAGTTGTTCAAAGAAACCCACTTGGCTCTTATAAGGTTTTAGTGAACTGCCATTTTTCCTCGTAAACTCCTCATCTGACCCTAAAATGCCAAAGTGTGTTTTTTGCCCTGAGTGTCAGTAATGTGTCATTCACAGAGCTTTCTCTAAATTGCTTTTCTAAGCCACCCACTCAATTCTCAGTCATACGCTACTGCTTTTCCATAAAATGAGGCCTGTGTGCAGTTACAGCACCCTTGTGTCCTCATCTTATTCCTCTGTTTTTTCATGGATCTAAGTTTGTTGTTTCTTACAGTCATGTTAGCTCAGTCATTTATTTTCTACAACATTCAGTCTGGAAAACATGATACGTCTCTTATTGTTGCTTAGAAACAGCTTGCTCAAGGCTGTACGTTTGTTTTTTGGGCATTTTAGATTGACCCATTTTATTGATGGCCGAAAGGAAAATGCAGGATTTTAAATTAAACCTGTCCAATGCAGTAGGTTTTTTTTTTTTTTTTTTTTTTTTTTTTTTTTTGGACTGTAAGGGGGTAACAGTTTAGGACCCAAGGACCAGATGTTTAAATGAAGACCTGGAGTCAGAATAATAATAAATTGAAGAAAATATTTACTTAAGATAGTTTGTAGTTTCTTTAGCAGAAGTCAGCTTCAAGACTCACACAGGAGTTCGTAGGCCGCCCCGCTTACAGTTACAAAGATCACAGCAGTAATGCCATACACCAAGGTCTAAGCTACGTCCTTGCTTCAGGTTGCAGTTTCTGATTGGCTAAGAAATAGATAAACAAACATAGTAATTTTCCACACGTATACAGATAGACGGAAGCATATCTCCATTGATTATGCGGCTGACACTCGGACCCTGAAGTTAGGCGCGTCGTGACCTTCCAGGTCTCAGATTTGGGTTGCTGGGCACCAGCCCGTCCCGAACAACAACTCGGTCAATCTCCAATAATGCCATTGGTTCCTTAACCTGTAACCAAGAAGACTAACACACACATCGACACACAGCTTTTCCAAGGTTGGATTTGGCCAGGCTCTAACTATAAACAGGAGAGTCCTCTCAAAACATCAAGATAATGTGTTCTTTCTCTCAGGGAGAGCTACACTTTAGTCTAACTGGAAATAAGGCTTTAACAAAGAAATGGTCCCTTAAACTATTGGCTTCAATGACCTCTATATGTTTTAACACGTTGAAGACCTTTCTCAAACACAAAACAAGTCCATATTTCATTTCTGGAAGGCGGCTAAATAAGCAAGCACTGTTACTGCATGCAGATATCAAATACAGACATTAAAGAATACATGAAAAGAACATTTCAGTAATTACACTGGAGATTTTACTTTGTTATAGAAGTTACCAAAGAAGTCATTCAACTTTGATATTTAGAAGGAAACATATTGATTAATACCTTGATTATAATCACTCATTACATATACATATACATTGAAGTAGCAGTGCATTCCAATCCCCCCCTTCACAACCCCCCCCCCCCCCCCCCCCCCCTTTGGGACCCTGAAATCATTGTTCTCCGCCAGTGTCCTTGAGTTAAAACAAGTCAGAGTCTAGCTCATTGAACCATAATATGCCACTCTGGTTTAGTCGCTGAGGAATGTCAACAATCACATGAAACTATTTACTTGGACTTTGGAATCCCATAGCTTTGAGTGCACAACAACCTTGTCATTTTTTGCAATTCTGACCAGTTTTGCAAAGTGTAACTACATGGCACAACAATCTTATTCTATAATCTCATATTTTATCTCAAGCTTGCCTCCGGCTTTCTTTTTTCTTTTATGATGGGGGTTCTCTGGCAAATGAAAAATGCTTGAAACTAAACATCCTGTGCTATTTGTTTCCAACAGATGGTTTAAATTGATGGGCAAGACGGGGAAAGCTGACAAAGACCGGGGTGAGGTGCTCCTAGATATTCAGTTCATGAGGAACAACATGACAGCCAGCATGTACGACCTCTCCGGGCAGGACAAGTCACGCTCACGGCTTGGCAAGCTTAAGGATAAGCTTAAAGGGAAAAAGAAAGATGGGATGTCAGATTCTGCTTCCGCTATTGTGCCTTCATTTGGACAGGTACTGACTGACAGCGAGGGTGAGGAAGAACCTGAAGTCACACCTGGAGCCAAAAAGAAGAATAAACTGAAGTCTCTCTTTGCACCCAAGCCGGGTTTGCACCGTAACATGTCCCAGTCCATGTCCACGCTCGCCACCCTGCCTGAAAAAGACTCGGCCATCAGTCTGAGCAGATCCTCTGGCCTAAATGTAGAGTCTCCTGAAGGTATCACCACACAATGCATTGCTGCAATATTGATATATCTGCTACCATATTGTTCTTGTAGGTTAGTACAGTTTAATGGTAGCAATACCAAGGTTATGGGTTCGATCATGAGAGTAATCATGAACTGATTAATTTATGCTCTTGTATCTGCCAAATGTAAATATTGATATCATTCATTATTAATTATACTGATTTAGCTGAAGTTGGAATCAAATGCACCAATCGACCGTCCATAAATTTAGCCTATTCTGTACTTGCGCACAAACTGCATTGCAATCATTTACCAAAATCTCATTTGTGTGGAAATATTTCGAAGTCTGTAAACAGGACGTTAGCACAGGACAGAGACGGGACACGCTGAAGACAGATGCGAAGAAGAGAGCAGACGTGCCAGCAGAGCAAATACTGTACCAGGCACAACAAGCTCTCTGTTCACAATGTTTAAAAATATAAGAAAAATATAAATATTGAATTGAATGCATTTTCTTTTCCTCTTACCGCCATATAAAGTAGTGTTTACAAGCACAGCGCTGCTTTGTGTACAAGCGTTAAAGAAACTGCTGCTGCTCCATAAGTGCCACCTACTGTTAGATGGTGAATTTGCATCGTCATTCAGTCCGTCTGCTGTTTTTGTTTTGTGCAGATGTCTGCCAAAATCACAGAAATTTTCCCCTAATTTTAAGGTGTTATATTGATGTATCTCTTTTTATCTTCAAAGGCAAAAAGAAATTTAAATTTCTGAAGCACAAGCGGACTGGAAGCTCTGACAGCAAGGTTTCCCAAGGTACCGGCTCTCTTGGAACGGGCATGGTGCAGGGCAATGTGTGCATCAATGGCAGTCACGTCTACACGAAAGCGCAAGAGAACAGAGCTGGTTCCACCTTCAGCCTGAACAGCTCAGGCCATGGGTCCATGGAGGACCTGCGCAGAGGTCATGACCAGAAGACCTCAGTGGACTCCCTTAAAACCTCTGACCTGAAAACTCAAGACAATTCAGTGGAAGAGATGCACAGAAAACAAGAGGAACAGAGGAAACAGGAAGCGGAAGTCAGGGAACGACTGGAGGAGGAAAGGAGACAGGCTGAAAAGGAAGAGAGGAAATGGATTGAGAGAGAACAGGAAAAAAGGAGATTAGAGGAGGAGGAGGTGGGGAAACGGTTGGAAAGGGAGGAAGAGAAGAGGAAGCTAGAGAAACAGATAGAGGAGAGGAAAAGGATTGAGAGGGAGGAAGAGAGAAAGAGGATAGAGAGGGAAGAGGAGCGGAAACGGATGGAGAGGGAGGAAGAGAAGAGGAAGCTAGAGAAACAGGAAGAGGAGAGAAAAAGGATTGAAAGAGAGGAAGAGAGAAAGAAGTTGGAGAGGGAAGAGGAGCGGAAACGGATGGTGAAGGAGGAAGAGAAGAGGAAACAGGAAGAGGAGAGAAAAAAGATTGAGAGAGAGGAAGAGAGAAAGAGGATAGAGAGGGAAGAGGAGCAGAAACGGATGGAGGAAGAGAAGAGGAAGCTAGAGAAAAAGGAAGTGGAAAGGAGGATTGAGAAAGAGGAGACTGAAAGGAAAAGGATTGAGCAGGATGAAATGATCAGAGTAAAGAAGGAACAGGAAAGAATTAGACAGGAAGAGGAAAAAAGAGGGGTTGAGGAGGAGAGGATCAAAGAGGAGAAAAGGAAGAGAATGGAGGAAGAGGAAAAGACAAGGAAGGAAGAAGATAAACGGAGAAAAATGGAGGAAGAGGAGAGAACAAGACTTGAGAATGAAAAGCTGCGAAAAAAAGGAGAGACCGGAAAGATTGAGATGGAAAGACGCGCTGAAGAAGAGGAAAGGCGACGGAAGGAAAAAGAAAAGGTGGAAGCAGAGGAAAAGAGGAAAAGGGAAGAGGAGAGAAGAATGACTGAGGAGAAAGAAACGAAAGCGCAAGAAAGGTTACGGCTGGAAAAAGAGAAGGTGGAGTTCGAGAAAAAGAAAATGGAAGAAAGGATGAGAGAGGAGCAGGTGAGAAAAATGGCTGAGGAAGAGGAGAAGAGGAAGCTGAAAGAGAAAGCAGACCAGGAGAGAATCAGGCAAGAGAAAGAAGAAATGGAGAGACAGAGGAAAGAGAAAGAACAGCGGCCCGAGGTGAAACCCAGAAGTGCTCGACTGAATACAAGTAAAAAAGCACCTGATGAGATTAACTCAGACTACACCCCATCCACCAATCCCTTTGAAGACCTTCTCTCAGTAGACGAGAGCGCCACCAATCCCTTCGAGCAAGCCACCGTTCCTCAACCTGAAGCCCTCAGTCGCTCAACCAAAGTGTCTGCGGTCAAGCCAAGGTCAGTTTGTTACCTGAAGTCACAGAAGCGTGTGTATTTAAACTACACCCTTTGGCATTATTCATGAAACATGAACAGATTTTTCATGTAAATTCTTGGGCAACAATTAATAGAAGAATGAATTCACTAAGAATGTTTTTTTTTAATGATTTACACAGAATATCTGCTTGTGTTACATGAATCCGGCCCTAAAACAACATGACAACTTAGTAATTTATCTGTCCTCCTCAGTGAAAGCAAAGGAGTGGGAACGTATTTAGCTTGTCAAGTCACATTTATTTATTTATTTATTTATATATATATATATATATAGCTTTTTACAATACAGATTGTTATAAAGCAGCTTTACAGAGATAACAGGAAAATAATGCAAAAAAGTTTGTTTCCAGAAGAAAATAGCGTTACAGTCCAGCTTAAGTAAGTTCAGTGATGTTTCATTTTTGTTTTAAAAAAAGTTATTAATTTTATATAAATATAAATAAGCCGCTCTGGAGTGAACCGTGATGTCATCGTCGAGCTCAGTTCAGGTCTTTTATAATATTGTCAGTGCAGGCAGAGCAATATTATTGTTGAATATTAAACTAAATGTTAGATTTAATGTCCCCATCCCTCCAAGCTTGTTTACCAATCAGAACCAAAAGGAAGCACTCCTTTTTCATGAAGTTTGTGGCTTGACAGACATCCGGCAGACTCTAACAACTCAACATCTTTGGAGCTTACTGACAGTCCATGTTCTTCATAACTCATTCATGTATCATTTCACAGAACTGTTTCAAATCATTCTCCAAACGCCTTCTTTTTACCATTTCTGCTGGAAGGCAAATCCATGACCTGTGATCACAGCTTTAATATTAAAGTCATGGAAGTGTCTCTCAGTGTTTCTGTGGTATGCTTAGACTCGATTTCAGTGTGGTAGGGTCCATACACGCTGCCATGATTAACACCATTATGAAATATGCAGTCGTGTGTGTGTGTGTGTGTGTGTTATAAGCGTGTCTGTTCATGTCCTAAAAACGTCTGGCATGAGAAGCAGTACTCCAAGTATAATATAGACATGTACAACTTCTATTAGTCTTTCTCTATCATATTTTCTGAAGATGATTGCCATACCGACTAAGTTGAATAACCCTTAACCAAATGAAGAACAAAAACCTGAATAAACGAAATCTTTCTTACCGTGGTATCTATTTATTTTCTGCTGAGATGCATTAATGCTGACAGTTATTTCTAAGGTCTCTAACCCTCATTGTGTTCACTCTTGTGTGGTACTTAATTGAGGTCTAACCCAGAGGAAACTGGAGAAATCTGTTTCCCTGGAAAACGGCTGATCCAAGCAGTTCCTTTTCTCTGACTCATGTGTTTAGACTTGAGGGCTTCATAATGGTTCTGGAATGTGTAGGAGACAGGAAGTAGACAACACGATTTGTGGGTGGCTCTTTAAATCTAAACCAGTTATCTCTAGCAGTTAAAGAACGTTCTGTCCTGAAATTTTCCTTCTGAATTTGTCTCAGAAAGCTTTGTTGCTCAAATGTATTAAACGTCCATAGACTTATTCCAAACGAGTTTAGAATGACATGAGAGAGTAAATGATGGCATACTTTTAATTCTGGTTTTTAATGAAAGTAAATCGGGTCAGTTTTAATGCTTTCAGTGGTTTTGATTGCTATTGAGCAAAGAAAAGTGGCTTTATCTTGCAACATATTTAGACATTTAGCAGATGTGTTTGATCGAGTTTAATCTTCCCTCTCATTATCCTGCTCCTTCAGTTCTTCTGTTTCTGGAAACTTCTTTTCACAAGCATCTGTGCCAAACACCAACCCATTCTTAGATGATTCTGATGCCATTAGCCGAAACACAGAGAGCGTTGTCAGTCTCACAGAAAGATCAGAGAAGAAACGACGTGCCCCGATGCCTCCTCAGAACACGGCGCAGATGGAAAAACCAGACATCCCTCCAAGAGCACCAGCAATTCCTCAAGCCACACAAAATTTTCAATCTAGAGCATCTGAGGAAGGTGGAGACTCTGATTCCTGCAGTTTACGACAAGACAAACGTCCTGCACCTTTACGACCAGATGTCTCAAAGAACAGGCAAGAAATGCAAAACGAACGTGCAGACCAATCCACGACGACTCTTAATATTGGAGAATGGAGAACTACTAGATTCCAAGAAGAAGACCAGATGAACCAAGGGCGCCCAGTCTCGCAGGATGAGTCAAGGACTTTTGACGCAGACAATTTTAGGAACACCAGTTTATCACATCTTAGCCTGAGTCTTCCCAGTAACCGACAAGAAACCAACCCTTTTATATCTACCGAGGTCAAAGTAAATAAACACAACAAGGGTCCAGCTCCAAAGCCTTTATTACAGTCAACGTCATGCAAGAATTCTGCATCTGAACCTGAACCCAACAACCTAGCCATTCGTAACGTCTATTTGACTGAGCATGCTGTATCCCTTGTTGAAGACAGAGCTACCTCAAACTCTTGCATTGATCAACTAGATGAGTCTTCAAACCAGTTTACTGGAAAGCTTGTATCTGAAGATCCTTCCACCAAACCTAAATCTGACCTTTCATCAAGAGAAAGTAGACAAGAGGATGTGCCAGCAAAGTGTAAACTAGACTTTCTTGAAAGAGACATTTCTTTAAGGTCTGAACCAATCCTTGGAACAGCTCTTTGCCATATTGAAAATGTCCTGCCTGATATTGGTGTTTCCAAAAAGAGTCGGGCCCCGTTGCCTCCTGCCAATTCAGCAGCAACTGGCAACCAGAACTCAAGCCAGCAACCAGAAGCTGTACTGAAGTCAACCAGTCAATCCACCAGACCAGATCAAGACAAGTCATTAACTATTAATAGTAGCATGTCAACCTCATGTTTTACCTTAACCCATGGAAAGTCTCCTCTAATCTTGAATCAAGCTCTCAAGAAAAATGAAGTGCAAACTAAGAATGAACATTCTCCTCTGAGAGTGGAAGCAGGCCAAGGGTCAGGGCACCGGTCTCTGCCGCAGGCCAGAGTTTCACCGATTGATGTTAAGTCCATCATTGTGCAGAATAATGGAAGTGAACATGAGAGAACAGGTGATACTGCTGCCTTCAAACCCTGCAGGTGAGGCCTCTCGTAGAACTTCTAGAGACCCTTAGAAGTAGTAGCAGATGTCGATGGTAGGTTCCTGTTAGCCATTAGTTAAAATTCAACGTTCTTGAGAATTGAAATGGTTTTAAAGTTTGTAGTAATGTTCGACACAGAATTACTCTCGAGATGTTTTTTTGTTATTTTCAATGACTCAATTTCAATGGAGAGCAGACAGTAGTATTAGAATGATCTTGGCTCATGAATATTAATTATGTGAGATGATGTACACCTAGTTCTCTAAACTCAGTGGTGTCCAGTCCTGCTTCTGGAGGGCCACTGTACTGCAAAGTATAGCTCTAACCTGCCCCAACACACTGGCATGGACTGTTTCCCAAAAGCGTAAGTAGATTGTAGAAACCATTGGCACTCGTGGTCTGTATGATCTACTTGTTTTTAGGTAATGCAGCCCTAGAAGTTTCTAACAATATTGGAGACCTTGATTAACTTGTTCAGGTGTGTTTATTTGGGCTTGGAGCTCAAATCTGCAGGAAGTTGGCCCTCCTGAAGCAGGATCTGGTACCCCTGTCTTGCCTGAATTGTGCTTACTGCTTGTGTGTTTAACCAACAGAACCCTTTGCTTGGTGTTGAAGTTGTCAATTGATGTGGCCAACTGCGTTTTTTTTTCTTCGTTTAAGACAAGTAACATAAACATTAAAAGAGCCAATTATAAGAGTTGTTGGTGTAATTTTCCAAAAAGTAGCAAGGTTATTATAAGTTATTTATTATGGTGTCTGTTGAAGACCACAACAAAAGTTCATGTAACTTATTGCCTGACTGCAAGATGTGCATATTGGTCTACATCAGATTACACTCTGGACCCTAGATTACTCATTGTTGGAACTTCCTGGTGATGTTCCACATAACTAGTCTTTCTTAAAAACAATGGTATAAACTTTGTCTTAGTCTCTGGTGAAATCAATGGGGTGTTTAATTTCTCAGGGTGAACCTTCTCTTTTTACATTAACTATAAAATGGCGATCCAATCATTGAAAACCACAGATATGAACCCTTTCATCTTTGGAAATAAAGGCTTCAATTTTCACTTTATTTTTTACAAAGTACATTTAAAGCAATGTTTCCCAAACCTGTTCCTGGAGGCACACCAAACAGTGCACATTTTGGATGTCTCCCTTATCTGACCCGGTCTTGGAGTCTCTACACATTTTCCAACTCTTCCGAATCAATCACACCTGAATCAACTCGTTAGAAGTGTTTGTGTGCCTCCAGGAACAGGGTTGGGAAACAGTGCATTAAAGCCAACAAATTCAGGGCTCAATGTATTTGTTCTTTTTTTTTAAAGAATTATCTTCTTGCAGAGTCCTCTGACTGCTTTTTATTCCACCCCTGTATTCTTAGATCTGCTTGTAAGACTTACAGCTATCCTTCTCTTGTCAGGCCACATGCAGTGAAACCCTTGAGCACCACTGACAATCATCCAGACCTCAGAGAGACCCAAGACAATTCCAGATCTGCTGCAATTACAGATGACATGCAAGTCAAGATGAAGGTAGTGTAAGCTTTTTTCTTTTCTTTTTGTTTCTCATCTACTATTGTGCAACCGTTTACCATGCATTGAACAGAAATCTGATATGGTGTTTAAGATGTTGTTCCTCTCACTTGACTTTTTTTTTTAAAAAGATTATATTTCTGTGTTCCAACTATCTTTTAGGCCTCAGAGGCTAAAGGGACAGGACCGTACTCCCAGTTAACCAATGAAGAACTCGTAAACTTGTTGGAAAAGCAGAAGGTGCAGCTTTCACAAAAGGACTCTAAGATAGGGGAATTGGAGCTGTATATAGACAATCTTCTAGTCCGTGTCATGGAGGAGAACCCCGCCATCTTAATGTCCTTGACTTCGATGAAGAAATCCGTTTGAGGGACAGTACTTTAGTAGTAGAGGGTTTTGTATCTAATCTGCACTGTAATCACAAACATGGGAAGAACAACAATACAAGGTTGTGGGCAAATCACAGAGGCCTTTCACTAGACCACACTACTGAGCTGAAGATCAGGTTGATGTATACCTGATTTGACATCACACTAAATGGTGACAACCTGAATGTTTATTATTTGGCTTCCCGCAGATCCACCTAACCATGTGACTGATAACATATGATTTATTTCAAGAATTTAAGTATTTTCCCCAAAGGTTTTTACTGTCCACTTTTTCCATTTGAATTGCTAATATTCTTTGGTTGGTTTTCTTTTTTCATGTTATCATCTATTAAATGTTTTGGTCAAAGCATTCAATGGAAGTGATCCCCACATTTTCACTAAGTAAACAATTTCACTATATCATATTCTTTATGCTAAATATTTTATATTGGTTATGAAGCTGACAAGCTGTATAATGTTTTGTAGACAGAGCACTGTATTGATACATATTGAAGCACTTTAAATGAATCAGGTCATCTGTAAATAATAAATATGTGATCATTTGTATGTTATGCCTTTTGTCATGTAACTTTACAGCTTTATTATTCTCTTATTCTCAGAATGTATTCTGCTTTTGAAATAAAGAATGGCATAGGTGTGGCCAGCCTCACAACATTGTGTCAATGAGCATTTTTAAGAAGGCAGGTTAAGCTTTTAATTATTATAATGAAGAGCATTGAGTGAATGTCAGATGACTGTCTACACACAACACTCTTGGAAATGTTTACATGCTGCTGTTCCTCTGAGAGGAAGACTAACCACATTTATTTTAGTGTTACATTCGCAATGATAACTGGTTAATATAATATTACCCTAGTTCACACTTGATATATTACTCATTGCATTTACATTAGTTTAATTGTAATCTCAGTTATTTTATTAAATCTATATCTTTTCGGACACTAATTTCCCATGAAACTTGTTAACTAACAATGAAATATTTCCAACTACAAAAGTATTAAAAATAATATTTAGTACGTCAGAGATGCATAGAAGAGAATATTATTTGCTGGTGTGTTAAGTTTTGTCATATAAAGAGACCTGTATTAATGATGAGAGTGTTTGTACATTTCTTTTTTATATTTTATTATTTTATTTACACTTTTTATTATTATTATTATTATTTTTCGAACATATGTAGTTGCATAATAAAGGAACTTTTATTGACAACAGTCTTGTTTCCGCCCGGACCAATAACGTCATCGAGAAGCGCGGCGGCGTCTCGTTCAAAACAAACGTACGTATGTCGCAAAGGAAGGGTGATAGAAGCCGCTTTCAGAAGTTTGTAATGTGCATAACAGGAGCAACGCATTTTGATTGTCTGCCATATTAATACTCCACCGACCATTTGAAGAGCAACTGCCACCAGTAAGATCTTCAAAATCCCCAGATATTTGTATAATAAATATTGTCTGTTTGTACTGAAACGTGCGGAACAGTGTGATTCTCTTTCGTTTGTTTCATATTGCAGAACATTGCTTGTTTGTAATTTGCTGATCAGAAACTAAGCGCTGCTGCTAAATGCCTTTAATACGAATATAGAGATTTTCTGTTTTCTCATAAAGAGATCTGCTAATGCTCTGCTTGCATTAAGTGTGATGGTGGACTATAGTTGATGTGCTTCTCATACAGGAATGCCGAGCAGTTGCCCTGAGTGTGGCTCGTCCAGTGTGGTGGAGGATGATCTTTACTCTCAGAGGCAGTGGGTGTGTGAGGACTGTGGCTCAGTGGTCGAGGAGGGCCTTCTGACTACCTTACTGAGCGATGAGACCCAGGGCAGAGGTAACCCAGCACGGGACATTTCGCTTTGAACTGATCCTCTGCTTGAAAGCTTCTGCTTTGACACCGGTTTCATTTTATCCAGCTGTGCCCTATCATGCTTCCACGGAGGAGATCAAGAAACCGTGCAGAAATCTAATTGCTGGTAAGATCAATGGCTCACGTTTAATCATCATTGGGTAACACTTAACAATAAGGTCCCGCTAGTTAATGCATTAACTAACAATGAGCAATACAAAATTTTTTTTTACAGTATTTATTCATATTTGTTAATATTAGCTAATAAAAATACAACTGTTCATTGTTAGTTAATGTTAGCTCAGGTCCATCAACTAATATTAACAGATAGAACTATAATGTATTTGTAAATGCTTAAAAATGAACATTAGCGGTACAGGGGTTGGACAATGAAACTGAAACACTAGCCAATATAGTGTTGAAGGTTTCACACGTATGCACAGCCCGATGGCCGATCTTCACTGATTTCACATTCCATCAGTAAGAGCAGAGTGTGCGGGTTGAATTAGCAGAGCAATAGCACAGCTGTACATAAAATATTGCAATCCACACAACATAATGGGAGACATATCGGAGTTCAAAAGAGGATAACTTGTTGGTGTGCGTCTCTGGCTCATCTGTGACCAGGACAGCAAGTCTTTGTGGTGTATCCAAAGCTATGGTATTCAAGTTAATGTCGGCATTTCACCACATAGGACGAACCACGTCCAACAGGAGTAACTGTCGACACAAGAGGAAGTTGTCTGAGAGGAATGTCCAGCTAATAATCTGAATTGTATCCAAAAAAACCCATAAAACCACAGCTGCCCAACTCTCTTCAGAATTAAACACGCACCTCCACTCTCATGTTTCCACCAAAACTGTTCATCAGGAGCTCCACAGAGTCAATATTCAGTCGGGCTGCTATAGCCAAAATTGTGGTCACTCGTACCAATGCCAGATGTCGGTGTCATTGGTGCCAACAGTGGAAATTACCTTGGGCGGTGGCCAATGTGAAACAGGTATTGTTCTCTGATGAGTCCATCTTCACTGTCTTTCCCACATACGAGAGAGTTACGGTGTGGAGAAGTCTTAACACTCGGACTGTCGCTGCCCAGAGTGAAACCAATACACACAGCAAGACTTGTGATAGAGTGACTTGATGAACATGAAAGTGAAGTTGAACATCTCTCATGGGCTGCACAGTCTCCAGATCTGAATATTTTTGAGTCACTTTGGGGTGTTTTGGAGAAGCAAGTTAGAAAACATTTTCCTCCATCAGCATCACATCGTGACCTGGCCACAGTTCTGCAAGAGGAATGGCTCAGGATCCCTCTGGCCACTGTGCTGGACTTGTATCTGTCATTCTCAAGACGAACTGATGTTGTTTTGGCCGCAAAAGGAGGCCCTACACCATACTAATAAATGATTGTGGCCTAAAACCAGGCGTTTCAGTTTCATTCTCCAGCCCCTGTACTTTTCATTGTTCGTTCATGTTAACTAATGCAGTGAACTAATGTTGACAAATGGAACCTTATTGTAAAGTGTTACCAATTGCTGTTATGTAAACAGTCCCTTTCTTGTGTCTTGGTGTATGCCATTTTTGTATTTATTTATGTACTATTATATTACTTGTTTATGTTACTATGTTTTCAGTTTTCTTAATAGTTCTCACAAGCCCTATTTTTATTTCTGTTATAGTTTTAGTAATTTTAGTACTTCAACTTTTCTCATTTAGGTGCTAAGGCAGCATTTCTAAAACATTTTTTTTCTAATATATTAAAGTTTTCAGCTTTATTTGTTACCTACAATTATTTGTAATAGTTTTAGTACCAAAGTGAAAGTGTTTGCTGGCTTTTCATGGTTTTGAACTTTGTATGGACGGTATTATGCGATTGTAATTTCTCTCTTTTTTTTCTGTCTCTCCAGGCTTCATCCGGGTCCGTGCGATGTGCCGTATACTCAGGTTATCCAACGACATGGAGTCGGAAGTAGTGAGTCTGTTTGAGCGCGCTTACAATCTCCCGAACTTCCTCCATGTGACCTTAACCAAGAAAGAAGTCTTGGGAGGCTGTTGCATACTCTGCGTCTGTCGCCAGAGAAACTGGCATGTTGCCATGGGAACCGTTGCTTACCTGTTGGGGGCGGACAATTCGGTGATCGGCACGGTATATCAGGAGCTCTTAAAGAGTCTGAACATTAAGGCCACCACTACAGGCATCACAGAACTGATGGAAAGCTTCTGCTACGAGTAAGTCTGACGCTGTCACGACTTCCACAATATTTTAGTCAATGTAAAAGTCCGTTTGTTTACTTGCAGTGTTTCTGTAGTTTTAAGCTGGGTCCTACACAGGTGGAGGAGGTGCTCTCTGAAACCCCCCAGCGGCTGCTGGACCGGATGTCTGCTTTGATTGAACTTGCTGCTGATACCTGGATCGTGACGGGACGCCAGCCGTTGCCTCTCCTCATGGGATCGGTGTATGTGGCCTGGCAGTCGCTGAATCCCTCGGTGAGTGACGTCGTATTCTGATGAGTGTGTGTTTCTGAAAGCGAGACATTTGTGTTCAAAGAGAACGATGCAGTTTGTAAGACAATAAAATCGGGCAACATAAAACAAGTGTGCACTACCATTCAAGAAATGAATGCTTTTATTCAGTCAGGACACTTTATAAATGTATTTACTGTCTCTTTTAATCAATATAATGTTACAAAATATATCAAATAAATGTGGAAATGATTCTTGAGCAGCAAAATCAGCATTTTAGAATGATTTCTGAAAGGGATCATGTGACACTGAAATGGGAGCCGTTTCTGTCACATAAGGGGAAAAAATCATGCTTTGGTAAATTATAATTATGACTTACTAAGTCATAATTATGAGATAAAAAGTTGAAATTGTCTCATAATTTCAATGTCATAAATTTGACTTCGTATGTCATTTCAATTTAGTTAGACAATTTTGAATTTGTATTTATCTCATAGACCTTTTAAGTCACAATTTTGACTTTGATCTCATATTTTAATGTCATAATAATTTTTTTAAATCAATTTTGACATTAATCTCATAATTTCGATGTAATAATTTTATCTTTTAGTCATATATAATTTACTTTTTAATCTCAGTTTCGATTTAGTATGTCATAATGTTGACATGTCAATTTCACCTTTTTTGTCATCATTTTGACTCGTTTCACAATTTCAATGTCATAATTTTTATTTGTCATAAATTTGACAGTCGAAATTAAGACATACTAAATTTAAATGATCACAATCTCATAATTTCAGTTTAGTATTTAAATTTTGACTTTTTAAATGCTAGTTTTTGACCTTTTGATCTCAATTTTGATTTGTCAAATTTTATGTCAATTTTAAATTTAGTATGTAAATTTCGACTTTATCTTATTGAATTTAATTCATAATTTCAGTTTAGTATTTCAATTTCTAATTTTTAAATGGTAATTTTGGCTTTTTAATCTCATCATTTCTATTAGTCAATTTTCAATTAGTCATAATTATGATTTTTTTTTAAATCATAATTTCAATTTTTAATCTCAAATACAAAACAGCGATTTTAAATTCAGTTTTTGATCAAATAAACGCAGCCTAGGTGAGCATAAGAGACTTCTTTCAAAAACATTAACAAAACCATACCTACCCCACACTTTGAATGGTAGTGTAAACATGCATTTATTCTATTTGAGTGACCTTTGAGTGTTGTGGCGAAAAGAAAGTGAATTTTATTTTTTGCAAAAAAAAGCATAAACTTTACAGCGGCACTGTTTTTTTCCTGCAGGGAAATGTTAATCGAATTATTCACGATTGTTAATCTTTGCAGGCCCGCATGAAATACTCCTTCAGGACGTTCTGCAAGATTGGAAAAGCACCGGAGCAGTCGTGGCGCAGAAGCCGAGATACGGCCCTGAAGCGTGTGAGCGAGCTGCTGGAGGTGCTGTGTAAACTGGGCCGAGAGCTGCCGTGGCTGAGGGGCGTCCCAGTGGAGCCCAAAACCGTGACCACGCTGGTGGAGGACATCCTGAAGCACCGCAGGGCTTTGCTCTCGAGGGCCGTTAAAAAATTCCAACAACAGCTGCAAAATCAACTCTCAGAGACCCAAACGACAGAATGTGACAATGACCCATCCGAGTCGAACCGCTCCGAACCGCCTTCCTCGGAGAACTCTGACTGGGCCGAATGTGAGAATCCTGCTGATGAAGAAGCTACGGAGTGTCAACTACCAGCTGGCCACTGGGGTAGAAGGCACTTGTTTTTACCCCCCTGCGTGAAGAGTCGCAAGCGGCAGAGGGTGGACGTTCCACAGCTGGAAGTGACCGGAGACGAAGACATATCGGACAGTGAAATTGAATCATACATTCGCTCTCCGGATGAGATTAAATCGTTTGTAAAGGCTCAGAAGGAGCTAAAGCAAGCGTGATTGTCATATCGACGTTTACACATAATTAAGTTCTGCTGATTAGTTTTTCGTTACATTGTTATTTATTTTTTGTTACATGGATTAATTTAGTTGTTTTGTAAATCTTACGAATTTTCATTAATAAAAAATATTTTTGTCTGAACTGGTATATTTCTCCATTTATTTATTTTTGTACTGTTTTATATTGCAAAGCAATGCCATTTTATCCTGGTTTGAATCAGTTAGTTAGTGCTGTAATGAATAGCTGCTGGTGCAGGAAGTAGTTTATAATCTTGCCGGAGATTTCATATATGATTTGATTGATGCTGGATGCCTTTGACGTAAATAATAGCCTCTAACGCCCCGGTGTCCAAAACAAATGGATTTTCCTTTGCCATCGTCCATCGAATGTATTATTCCAGGAAAGTTCATTTCCGAGACCTTGATATTATTAGCGTCCAAGTCACAGCTGTTCCTGCTCACGTCGTGTGTGTGTGTGATGGAATCATTAATATCAGCCGTTTTCATTCTTTCATTTGCTCGAGGCTGTGATACAGACCATTTAAATTGTCCTGCAGGTGTGTGATCTTCACAATGGCAATGATTTAAAGTGCTTGTTCTCATTATGTTGTCGTATTTGTCTGGTCCTTCAGGAGATATTTTCGTTTTAAGATCAATAGCTGCTTTGAATAAAAGGCGTTCTGGCAATTGGAGCTCATTCAAGGACTTGTATTCTGATTTCTGATGCATTTACACGAGGTATTTGTACACTTGAAATTTTTTAAATGTCATTGCATTAGATAACAAAATATCAACCCAGCTGGCATTTATTTAAAAGAAAGCATGAACATAGGCTACTTTCCGTAGTTAATGTGATTATCTACTACACCTGTAGTTGTTAGGACTCTCTTGAGCCTCATTTCTAAAGCGTGTGTATGCACAGATTTAATCTTAGATTGTGCGTACACTGAAATTCATTTTTATTAAAACGGTCTTCGATGTGGAAAAGTGTTTAGCGTCAAGTCAGGGTCTGGTTATTATGGTTTAAACAAACATATTAAGCACAACTGTTTTCAACATTGATGATAATATGTTTCTTGAGCACTAAATCGGCATATTAGAATGATTTCTGAAGGATCGTGTGATTGAAGATTGTAATGATGCTGAAAATTCAGCTTTGCCATCACAGGAATAAATTACATTTTAAAATATATTCATATAGCAAACAGTTATTTTGACTGTTTGTACTGTATTTTTGATCAAATAAATGGTGAGCATAAGAGACTTACCGACCCCAAACCTTTGAATGGTAGTGTACACTGAACATCCAAAAAACACCAATTGATTAAAAGTAAATCTTTATTTATTCTTTAATGGATAGCATGCAATAATTTAATCAGCTTGTTGCAGAAGCTTTGTCTTCGAAGCACAGATGAGTTTACTTTTTTTGTTGGTTTCCCTCATGATGCATCCGACTTTAACATTGTTGCCATGTTGCACTGCACATTCACAGAGCTCTGGTGCATTGAATGATTACAATTCCTTCTTAAGCAGCAAATTGGTAATGGAAAAGTGAATGGTAAAAAAAGTAGTCATTACTGGAGCGCACAGGCTTCTGGGACTCTCAAAGTCAACATGAAAGGTTTCTGGTTTTATTGTGCATGATTTCAAAGAAAGAGCTTTTTTTGCAATGTCATCTCGCAGTGATATGTAATAACTGAAGTCACCAGAGACACTTTCCCAGATGAATATCCATTGAATATCCTGTTCCACTCATAGAAACATAACATTGCAGAAGAAAAATTGGTTGTGAATGCAATTTCATGGTGATTTCACCCTTGTGGATCCTTTGAAAACAGCCCAACAAGTTTAGAATCATTTGTTACAATATCAATAGCAGTAATGAATCAGTCGAGTTAACACAGCCGTCCTAATGGAGCATCCCTTAATTACATTAGGCTATGTCCACACTAATCAAGTGGATCCATTTGAAAATGCCGTTTTCACGTTGTAGTGAGATGTGAAAACTGAGGTATTTGAACACGATGGCGCATGTTTGGTCATGTGACGCATATTGTACCCATACAGTAGATATCTAGATGTGGTATCTGTCAGGAGTTGTACGTTTACACGACAACGATGTACAAAAAACTGAAAAGTTTGTCCTTTGAGTTTTTTTGCGTTAAGGATGACAATGCTCTCAAAACGATAACCATTCGCACGGATCCGCGAAAACGACTAAAAACGAGCATGAAGTCACTGTTTTCACAAACTTGCACATTTTTTTAGTTTATACAGAGATGATAATGGTAAAACTTGCATTTTGGAGTCGTTTACTCAACACCATTTTCAACAAAGAAGGACAACTTTTTATGCTTTTTGCCCATTCATTTACACGACAACAGCGTTTTGGGGGCCTGAAAACACAAACTTTTGGAAACAGGATTCAAATGCAAGTTTTTGAAAGCGATACCGTTATCATCTCCGTCACCGTGTAAACTACAAAAACACGAATTTGAGAAAACTGTGACATCATGCTTATTATGTGTTCAGTCTATGAGCACCTAGTGTTTCTTTGCAAAGTGACATCGCCAACTACTGGCCTGGAATGAATAATGCAGCCTTTTAAATAGTTTTCGTGGATCTGTGTGACTGGGGATCGTTTTGACAACGTTGTTAAAGGAGCTGTATGTAAGAAATTTATTTGAATTAATCATAAAATGGCCCTGATATGCCACTAGACATTGAGAAATCATGTTCATTTCAAATACTTATATCACTGACAACAGTAGTCCGGCCAGGATATTGTCATTCAAAAAGTGAAGTTGCAGCCCTCAACTGATGTTGATGTTGTCATGTTGTGTTTTGGTCTGTTGCTCCACCCTCCACCTATCTACCAATCACGAAGTCAGTAGTGTTGCGCCATCCGGGTTGCCAGCTCTGCTCTAGTTACCACAGCTGCAGCTACACACGTGTCGGATAAAAAAATGCAGCCGATCTGGCAACCTCGAGTCAGGGGGGAGGGGATACACCGCTCTACAGTAATTTGAAAGTGATTGCAGTACCGGTTTTGGCCACAATCTTACATACAGCTCCTTTAACTGTACGTGAAAAAATGCAAAGGAAAAACTTTTCCGTTTACCTTTTTTAGTACCTAATACCTTTCCTGACTTTTGACATCCGTTTTCAAAAGTTATTTTACTTTATAAAGTTTTAAATATGGATATTTTTCTTACACCAACGCATCGCTTCGCTTCAGAAGGTCTTTATTAACCCCACAGAGCCGTGTGGAGCACTTTTATCATGGATAGATGCAATACAGCTACAGCTAGGATGACTTGAAGGCGAGTAAATCAAGGGCTAATTTTCATTTTTGGGTGAACTATTCCTGAACTAGACCCCGATATCCCACAAGCTAAATTGAAGAACAAACTGGTGTGACATTATTTCGAACAAACGCTAAAACAAAGTTCGTTTTGGGAGTTCGGAACAGCAAACATTCCAGAAAAGTTCGTTCCGGCTAGTAAACACCTCATAATAGGTAGCTGTGGCTCTGCAGCTCCACCGTCTTTGATGTGGAAATACTCAACAGTTCATTTGGGATGTTCGCTATGGATTCTGGAATGCACTGCTGCTTCAATGTATATGTAATGAGTGATTATAATCAAGGTTGCTTATTTAGCTCGGCTTCCAGAAATGAAATATGGACTTGGTTTGTGTTTGAGAAAGGTCTTCAACATGTTAAAACATATAGAGGTCATTGAACCCAATAGTTTAAAGGACCATTTCTTTGTTAAAGCCTTATTTCCAGTTAGACTAAAGTGTAGCTCTCCCTGAGAGAAAGAACACATTATCTTGATGTTTTGAGAGGACTCTCCTGTTTATAGTTAGAGCCTGGCCAAATCCAACCTTGGAAAAGCTGTGTGTCGATGTGTGTGTTAGTCTTCTTGGTTACAGGTTAAGGAACCAATGGCATTATTGGAGATTGACCGAGTTGTTGTTCGGGACGGGCTGGTGCCCAGCAACCCAAATCTGAGACCTGGAAGGTCACGACGCGCCTAACTTCAGGGTCCGAGTGTCAGCCGCATAATCGATGGAGATATGCTTCCGTCTATCTGTATATGTGTGGAAAATTACTATGTTTATCTATTTCTTAGCCAATCAGAAACTGCAACCTGAAGCAAGGACGTAGCTTAGACCTTGGTGTATGGCATTACTGCTGTGATCTTTGTAACTGTAAGCGGGGCGGCCTACGAACTCCTGTGTGAGTCTTGAAGCTGACTTCTGCTGATGAAACTGCAAACTATCTTCAGTAAATATTTTCTTCAATTTATTATAATTCTGACTCCGGGTCTTCATTCATCATATCTGGTTCTGGGTCTTTGACTGTGAAACCCTTTACAGTTAACTGAATACCGCTGAACTTTTTTTTGTGTGAAAAATGATTTCGCTGTGAGGGGCCTCAAGTGTTTCCATCCATCATGTCTTTTCTTGTATTTACATTTTGTTGGCCTTTATTAAACTGCACTTCATGAGTTTTTATCTTTTCTGAAGCCCACATTGACGTCATAGTACGACGCTCGCCGTCGCGCAGTGGTTGGCGGGAATGCCAATGCGACGGTGGCAGGTGAACATCTTGCGCAGTTCTGCGCGGAAACGGTCGTGCAGCCACGCGTACAGGAACGGGTTGCAGCAGGACGAGCTCATGGCGCACAGATGACACAACAACTGGATCAACAGGAAATGGCGCTTGTTGATGAGGCGGATGTCGATGTCGCGCAGCACGTTGAACACGTAGATGGGCAGCCAGCAGACGGCGAACGCCGCCACCACTAGAGACACCAGCCTGAAGATCTTCCGCTTGCGTGCCCGCTGGGCCTCGGCCTGGTCCCGCGTGCGGTGTCCGGGGGCCACGCAGTTCCGGAGTTTGACGGAGATGCAGAAGTAAGAGACACAGACTGCGGATAAAGGAAGGATGTAGGTCAGTAGCAGTGTGCTGTAGGCGTACACCAACCGCTGGGTCTCCTGGCCCAACCAGAACTCCTCACAGATGGTCAGACCCTCTTCTCTGAACTCCACGTGATACGTGTGGGCCACAGCGGGAGCGACTAGCACACACGACAGCAGCCAGATCCCAGACAGCACGTAACCGCAAGCCGCCATTGAGATTCGCTTCTTCAAAGGGTGAACTGTAGCGTAGTACCTGTTACAACACACAGATTTTATATTATATTATAAAATATATTTCATTATTTTTCTTCTTTTTAAAAATTACCCCCAAATCAAATCAAATAATTACAAAAAACATTATGTTTTGTATAAAGAAAATTAAGCCTTTTTTTTAGAACATATTAATATTTTTTTGTAATATTAAGCACTTTTAAACTCAAATTCTTATTACTGTAATTCATCTGGACATTTTACATTTGAGTTTTTTTTTTATTCCTGTTAATCTCATTAATAAAATAATGCATACATAATTATCATTATTTATAATAATTTATATTAAAATATCATTTTAATTATCAAAAGAATCAATATAGTTATTTTTACAACAGTAATATGCAGTGATGTTTTTTTTATTTTTTTTATTTCAACAGTAAAAATGCAGTAATGTTTTTTTTTTTTGATTTTTTTTTTGATATTACCCCAAAATTAAATTAAATAATAAAAAAGAATCATGTTTTGTATAAAGATAATGAACCCTATATTCAGAACCATTAATATGATTGTGTGTTTATGTATATTTATATATATATATATTTAGCACTTTAACCCTCAAATACTTCAAGTAATTCATCTGGACATACAGTATTACATTTACAATCAATATAGTTATTTTAACTATAGTGAAAACGCAGTAATAGATTGATTTTTATTGATTTAAATCAACGTAAATTAATTCACTACTACAACATTTAAAATACTATTATAACTTAATAATATTATAACTTTTTACTATTTGTTTTTATTATTATTTTTGAGATTAGAGTAAAAATACTTTTTGAATTATGGTAATGAGAAAATGTGAAATAATGTTACAATGCAAAGATCTTAAAATAGGCTTCATTTTCCTACAATAAAATATAATTATTTCTATCTGTATGGGATTTACAGGGTGAAATATGACATATTTTGTGAGTTAAGAAACAATTCAATTTTGTCAACAAACATCAAAGCAGTAGTGGGGAAACAGCATGGATAGTGAGTGACCTTCTCTCAAACTGCAGACTTCACTTTAGAGACCTCTAATGATCTCCAAAGACGCAAAACCCTTTTCAAAAGAACCATAATTCGGTGCGCATCTTTTGGACATCCTTTCATCTCAAGTGAGCTGACCCACTTTAACCCCACTCAGCTTTGATATCGAGCGCCTGAGCCATTAGTGAAATCATTAGAAGGTCAGGTGGCCGCACTCACCTGTCGACAGCAATGGCTGTGAGGGTGAAAACGGACACGTATACAGTGACGGGCTGGATCAAGAACACCAGGTAACACATGAAGCGTCCGAACGTCCACCCGTGAGCGCTGAAGGCGTAGGCCAGCGTGAAGGGGACGCAGGTCACGCACATCAACATGTCCGAGAAGGCCAGGTTACCGATGAAGAAGTTGGTGACGTTGTGCATCTTCCTCGTGCGGCAGATGACGTAGATCAGAAGGTAGTTGCCAAAGACGCCCACCAGCAACACAAGAACGTAACAGGGGATGATAAGCGGCTTGAAGGTCTGCAGCAGGGCTACGTCTGCGAAGGGAAAGCTGTGAGGGGACGTGGAGTTTGGGACCACCATCACCTCGTACACGTGGCTTCCAGGAGGCTCTTCTCCACCTTGCCAACCAGAGCCCTCCATCCTTCAGTCAAAACACTTCTGTCTCCACCTGCTGGACGAAAACACAAGGGGTTTTCAAAGGTCTCACTCAGTCTTGAATATTTTGTTACATAACTGCTCATTTATGAATCAAAGTGCTTTAATGTACCTGTATGAAAGCGACTATAGAAAATGAAGGTCGTAAAAAGCCTTCTAGTTCACTTTGTTCCAGCATCCCAGCATTTTAAAACACGACAGTGTGCCTGCTGCTGTGATGTATTTTTCAAAAGAGTTTCTGTAATCTTCCTACATTAATCTACTTTCACTGTCAGACAAACAAGAATGATGAATGTCAAAACTTAGCAGGCAAACGCTGCTTAAATTCAAATGTTGCACTCACGTCATCTGTGTAAATGCAACATTTGTTTAAACTCAGATGCCGGTCATTTTGATGAATTGGCATTGTGTTCTCTGTTCTTGCTGAGTTCAGTTGTGCAAAAATGAAACTTTGCAGTTTCATAAAATGCCGCCTTTCAAACATCCATGGTGGATATGGGAAGAATTATGAGATATTTCTGTTAAGTTGACATTAAATTCTTTTAGAAAGTTGAGATCTCTTGCAGTGCAACAGGCTAAACTGTTTTAAACTGAATTTTACTATTCTTCTATCAATCATTTGCATGCAGGCTGTATGATCATATTCATTGAGAGGTTGCATGGAATATTTGTACTTTTCAAAATTCATACATTTGGAGTTCATTAACATCTCTAAAGACATTTTGAATCACAGAATTTCATCATATTCATCAGGACAGCATTTTATCACAATCATCTAAGGAGGACAGCAGATAAAAGAGCTACTTTAATAAATATAGACTATACATGAGAATAAAGGTCATGGATTTATATGGTTTGAGAAGGAATTAGTACCAGACAGGGTAATTATGTTATTTATGGGTGTGAATCTGCAATACCATTACTGTCAGTGTAATAATGCTGATAATGGAACTTTTTTCACCAGTCAGAAATAAAGTCTTCTGTTGTCGGTTACATCCATAGAGTGTTTTTTAATTACGGTATTTTATTTTTTACATTTATTCATTCTAGCACACACAAACTGCTAAATTAAACAGATGCATAGCTTTCTCCACCCTTGATACATGTAGCCAAAATGTAGATTTGATGGTGAATTCTTTAAAAAATAAAATCAATCTATCAATCCATCAATCAATCAATAATACAGCTATCACAACTACATATCTATTGTTAAGTTTTGCAGGGTTGTTTTTTATTTCAGGACTGAACTAAAAAGATATTCTCGTGTCCACATGCTTGAAACGAACATGCAGAGCCAATGCTGCTTTTTTAATCAAAACCTACTGAGATATAGCCCTTGTGACAACTAGCCCCGGGATCTTCTAAATATAATAAAGCATATGCATTCTTTAAATATCATTTCACAAAAATGTATAAGAGAATTCGATGTAGAGTCAAATTAGCAGTAGATCAACGAGACTTCAGGATATTTGCGTTAGAATAAAAAACAAAAGCTACATTACCTAAGACACAGAATATTCCTGTTTCGGAGAAGTGTGTGAAAGCAGCGTTTTTCCGGTGTGGTTCTCCGAGTGTCTCTCAACATCTGATGCGCAGCTTCTGCTCCGAGAAACAAACCACACAAATCAGAGAGACCGAGTGTGCTGCTGGAACAAGTGCTCCACCACAACTACCACTCGTTTACTCAAGCAAACCTAAAGCCCAGCAACTTCTGTCACCCTGACCGTTGCGGGTGCGAATGGAAGGGTTGGGAGGGGTCCAATTAAAGCTCGAACTCTCCTGAAAAAAAAAAGGTTTTGGTTAAAAAATGTGTATAAGAATATATCAACAACGTTGTATCCACAAAGGGGGTATAATTAAGGCGCGAAACTCATCAAAGGAGTGCAAGGAAACGGTTTTGGTTACAATTATTTTATCAATTAGAATAGGCTACCCCCCCCCCCCCCCCCCCCCCCCCCCCCCCCCCATTTTCCCATCTCTTCTGCAAAGCTTTTGTGGATCTCAAGTTTTACATCTGACGTCATGTGTCAATAAGCCATGGAGCTGCAGTCGATTAAAGTCAAGAGCTTTCACATGAAACTGTCTAACACTGATTGATAGTGATCAATTAATATGGATAGCACCACGACTAACCTCCTTGTCTACTTTCGTGTAAGAAAACAGAGGTTTAGAACGAGATATGGGTGAGTAAATGCTGACAGAATTAAAATTTTGGGGTAAAGTTGAACAACTTCCTTCAGGCAGAGAAGCATTAAATAGTTGCTAACCACTGACACAAAACACCACCAATCCAAAAAATAAAGTAAAATTGGAAAAATGCTAATTTGATACAAGCCCAGAGGTCAAAATAACAAGCATAATGAGCTTGTATTAATTTACTCACACTTATGTCATGTGGTTAGTCTTAAATGATGAGCTCTACTGCCTGAGGGCCAGAAATCTGCTATTTTGTGCTGCCAGTAACAAACACATGTTAGGCAAACAACTGCTCTGATGACATATATATAAAAACACTAAAACTAAACTAAACCACCATTTGCACCGTTTCTTTTTTATTTGCTCAGCTTCTGATACTTGATTTGTTGCAAGTGCTTTTATCACACATTTTGTCGTGATTGTTTTCAGTCGTCTATGTTTTAATCAGTTTAAAGCCGCAGTCCGTAACTTTTGGCGAACTCGCGGTTCATAAACAGAACTGTATCTACTTCTCTCTGTTTATGTCGACGCAGGTACTGGGCTACTCCGCAGTGGTACGTCCCGTACTAGCCTAAACAAGTAATTTTGATTAAAGATAATGCCGGTATATGAATTTAAAAACAAAACAAATGATTTGTATGGAAATATATATTTTTATCCTTTAAAAATATATATTTTTCCATTTGATTTCATGGTGACTTTAATGTTCTACATCTTCGCTGAACCGGTTTCCGTCTCGTCCTTTTTAGCAGTAAACGACCCACTGCTGTATAGCATCCTTGCAATGAGGAGATCAACAAAACACTTGAAAAGGAGCTACACAGGCCTGACATTCAGGGAAATATTATTATTATTTGTTTGTGTGTGTGGACATTCTGTATATCACAACTTAGCTTTAGGGGAAAACATAATGTGGCGCATGATGTCATTAGCGAGTGGAGTGGCGTTAGCACAAGCTGAATTAATATCAGATTGGTCTGCTGCACTTTATCATCATAGGATGAGCTTCTACTCGCACAAGAGAATTTTAAATTAATAGCACACCTTTTATGGCCTCCATCATATTTAGAACAGATTCTCTAATTTATACATTATGCAGAGGCTGCATTATTACATTATATGAGAGTCAACTGAATAGCTTATAATCTTCTGGTATGTTTTTGTGTCTTATTGCACATATTATTTCCCATCTGACGTTACTATAATGTGTTTTAGTCTACTAAGATTAGTCTAAGATGTCTGGCTTAACAAGCTTCTACAACAAGTTTTCCACACAAATGAGATTTGTTTAAAAGGGAATACATGTACAGCTTTCAAACATGTTCCTAGAAGAAGACAGGCAGGAATGTTTCTCTGTGTTTAGTGGATTTGAATTCAGACTGATGTAGAATGCAGAAATGTCTTTCCATAATATACTGTACATGATTCTTACCTGCAGTGCTACTGTATGTGCGACCTTGTTGCATAAGAAGTTGCACGGTGCAAACTTGTTCTATTATAATTTTTTGGTGATTTCAGATAGATAGACAGAGAGATAGACAGACAGAGAGATAGATAGATAGATAGATAGATAGATAGATAGATAGATAGATAGATAGATAGATAGATAGATAGATAGATAGATAGATAGATAGATAGATAGATAGATAGATGTCTTTCTATGTGAGTACATTGTATACAGATATATTTATAGTAGTTTTAAGTTGAAAGCACGCAGGATGCTGATCACAGAGTCTGAGTGGACTCATGATTATTCCTGCCATTTAAATGAAATATTCGGAGTATAAATCAGTTGACATTTATCATCGTTATTGAATAATTGTGACTTTGGCCTTTAATTTAGATTTATTTGTTCAGGTTTCAGTGGCTTCCACATGTTCAAGCCAATTAGCCTCCTGCTGTCTGGCTGTTTGCCTGCATGGCATCAGCAGATGTGTGTCTTTTCTGATTGTTAATGGCTTTTATTTGTCTTGTTATTGTGTAGCAGAACATTCTTTTTTACGTTTTCTTTAGAAGGCTTCAAAGGATGATACATAAATTAGACATAAAAAACATGGCATCAGTTCTGTTGTAAGAAAGTGTTTAAAGTGCACTTTTTATCTCTCCTCACAAAACACACATCCATTTTGCTTTTAGTGACCACAGCTCCCAGCTGTCCTCACTCCCTCACAACATAATACCCTTTCTCATTACTAACACCTCTATTTTACACTTCACTTCATTCCCACTTTCCTCTTCTTTTCTTCCCTCTCTTCTCCGTTCGCCAGCTCGTTGCGTCGCAGTTGAGATTCCGATTAAAGGTTAAAAGCATCGAAAACATTTCTGTGGATGCTGAAATCTTAATGATATTTAATGATCAGCCCTTTGCATGTTGCTATGGGAAATGATCACATTCTAGTATGAGCGGAGAATAAAATGCATGTCTTTATATGTGCTCTGAATGCCACATGGGTTTTATTATGTGTCATTTGCTCAGCTTGCATGGGAAGACCATCAAAACAGATTATTTGTGAAATTGTACAGAGCATTTTGTTTTCTCTGTGGAAGCATATAGATCTGTCATCATTTATTCACCTTCATGCCGTTCCAAACCCCTGTAACCTGCAAGTCTTTTGTTTAGGTTTGGAACAGCATGAAGATGAATAGGCCTAAATGATGCCAGCATTTGCCTTTTTGAGTGAACTATGCCTTTAAGGTCAGAATTCCCTTTACGGTCACTTCGTCTAGTGAGCGCGAGTGAAACTCTTCACCATGGGCATGATGCTCTTCCTCTAGTCAACATACAGCATAGGGTGTACGTACATGCTTTCATGCACATGTTCAGATGCTGTTTTGTTGAAAAGACATTTTGACCAGCTGTAGACTTTGACTGAAAGGGTTCGTCTGTTTTTCTCAGTATAGCCCCTTTCACACAGAGATTCCGGAAAATACACGGATAAAGCGACCCGGGATTTGACCCGGGTTCGTTTGATTTTGCTTCATTCACACTGCCAGTGATTTGCCGGAATCAGAGAGCGCGTTCACACACAACCCGTGTATGTTCCGGAAAGACACGTGACATCGATGTGACATGTAATAATGTCTCAGCAACGTGTATAGTTTGTTTGCTTATGAGCTGCGATTTCTCTCTGGAGAAACCACGCTTGTGCATTTTTTCTCTGATTCGATCATTAACTAGCGCATTACGTACCGTTTCACTAGCCTGCTTTAACTTCACTTCAGCGTCATCATTACGACACGGCATTGGTTACGGCTTTTGTTCACACAGCGCGCGTTCCAGGACTGAACACGGCAATGTTACTAGGTCCCCAACCCGGCATCGATCCCGGCATCAGTCCCGGGTCGTGTTTGCGTTCACACAGAAGGCACTCTGGCAATTTGCCGGCAATTTGCCGGGTTCAAAGCGCTGTGTGAAAGGGGCTTAAGACTGCCAGGGCTGGACTGGCCATCGGGCATACCGGGCATTTGCCCGGTGGGCCGACGTGCTTTGTGGGCCGATACATCTCATACTTAATTTTTTTTTTTTTTGTCTGAACGGTCCATAAAACTCGTACATCGGCGGCCCATTGCGTTTAGTTTTGTTTAATTGGCGGCTCTGGGATCTTTGTGCCGGTGTAATGCATTGGACAAAAAAGTCAGCGTAGGTTTTTCTTTTTCTCACAGACCGGCGCATGATGAAACGCGTAAATCAGCAGCCCATTGGTTATCTTCTTGATTGACACTGGGCTGGTCCAATCACATCTTTAAACTCCTCCCCCTTTGAGCTCTGAGTGAGCGAGCAGTGTCAGTGTGTATCTGTCAAAATAGTCAGAGCGATGGAGAAGAAACGCAAGGAATGTGCAGAGAAATAACATGAAAAAAGAAACTTCAAAGGCCCTTCAAGTGTCTGAGGAGGATAAGGAGAGAGATGAGTGAGTGCAGAGAACTGTGGTAAGCAGAACTAGGCTACTGTCACAACACTTATGGTGTGTTCACACCAAACGCGAATAGAGCGTCAAATACGCGTCTATCGCGTTTAGTTATACGCTTGAACATTCGCTCGAGTTCACATTTTTCAACTTGCGCGGAAGACATTCGCGGCAAACGCGTCGCACAATTCGCGTCATTCGCAACGCCCGGCGCAAATGATGCGTCTATTCGCGTCTTTGCATTGACTTTGTATGTAATCTACTCGCCCAAATAATTAAATTCGCGTTCGGTGTGAACACACCATTAGGCTATGTAGGAACCCACTACCCATTTACGCATTATTTACACATCTGCATATTTGACGATTACGCATTTTATTAGAATTGTAATGAGACAATAATGAGTAATCAGTTTGTAAACCATATTTTTCTTGTCGATATAATACTTTATACTCACATGTCTGTTGATATAATTTTAATATCGTGCATTTAAGGCAATTGTTAGGGTTGTTTGTTATTGTTGTGTTTGTGTTTTCTTCATTTTTAATATTTTTTTGTACA